AAGCCAAAACAGAAGTGAAAAGTAGAAGTGGCCAAAGAGGAAGTGGCCAAAGAGGAAGTGGTGTAAAAACAGAATTACATTTGAAAAAACAGAATTAAATTAAGCCAGAGGATTTTTATTTATTCATTTTTGTGTGTGTTTATATATATATATATATATATATATATAAACTTATTAGCAATTTAGATCAACAGAACAATGTTCAGTAGGGTTATTCCTACTATTCTGTGCCTTTTGAGTCCCCAAGCCATAATGTGGTACATTTTGTTTAAAGGCGAGCTAATATTTATTTTATTAATCTCATTTTATATGTTTCACTCGGCTTTACCAAAAAGCACAGCCATATGTACACAATATGAATTTATTTCAGGTCTCTCTTGTTAATGAGCCCCCGAGGCTCGATAGGATTAAATAAAGGTTGAATAAAAATTTATAATAATTAAATCTAATTTTAAAAGCAACATGGGTTTACTGCCATGTCCCCTTTCATGCCTTCTGAAATTAAGTTACAATTCTAAATAATTTTAAAAAAGTCAAATTTTAATAATTTTTTTAATAGTACTATTTATAATAGTTTTCATCCAATTACTTTTTATTCGAAATATGTTTTATGTTTAAAGTATTAACAATAAATTGAGTCCCTGAGTCAACTGTCCACTCTGTTACTCTAAAATACGTGTCACCCCTGGTTAGGCTTAATGTAATCAAGTTTTTTTTTTTTTATGTTGTTCATTTACACTTCAGGGCCACCGTACAGAAGTCAGCACCACTGCTCCAGAGCTGTTTTTCTTTTTTTTTGTGGCTGCTCAAGTTGTTCAGTTCCACAAAACGTTTCTCACAGCAACATTATTAACAATGGGTCTCTGTTTTCTCCCTTTGTTAATAACTAAAGGAAAAATATCCATTATTAGGCTCTTGCCATGTTATATTTTTGGAGACAGAGTCTGCACATTAACAAAGTTAAGGTGTACCCTCATTCAATATGTCCTGCCTCTTATCCTCCCATCTTCCTAACAGGTTGTCACATTATCAGTCACTTTTCTTTAAACCCAAAATAACCAACTAAAACTACACTTTTTTCAACGTACAGCATCTGTACAATCAATATATTTATATACTGTAGATTTGACTGTGTCCCTTAATGTAAAAACCTTTTCAATGATCAAATCAAGTGTTGTTTATAAAGATTTTCTGATGTACAGATATACCATATTAAATTTTATATTAATTATTGGACATCTCAGCCAATCCAGACAAAATATATAAAGAAGAGTCTACAGCAGTTTCTACTCATGAACTTGATCAGGTTCCAAACTTTTTAAGCAATTTTACATGGAAAATCAGGCGAGTAAATAAAAGCCCAAATCTAGTCAAATGGGAAGAATTTTAATTACCATTAGAATCTTTAGCTTTTGTGTTTTAATGCGGATAAATAATTGAAATTATATTACTAAAAAGCTGTTTTGTAGTTAAATTTGGCAGTTAAAATGCAGACAATTAACTATTTTATTAGCAAATAAAAGTGGAACACTGACTGATTTCAGATGACAGCAAGATATTTTATTTATTAATGTTTGACAATCCAACTTTTGTTTTAAATGTTCCAATCCACTTTTAAACACAGGTAGGAGTTAATCCCAACCCCCACCTATGATGACACATGCATATTAGTACAGTCTGAATTGTGCTGCTGTTTGGGATAACTAATTGCTAATTACAATAACTAATTACTAATTACAACAACTAATTACTAATTACAATAACTAATTACTAATTACAGTAACTAATAACTAATTACTAATTGCACTTCTCTGTTTCTAGTTCATTGTAAAATCCTATTGTTTTTATTTAGCTCTGTTTTACTGCTGCCTTGTTATTCTTTCCTTTATTCAAATTTCATTTTTTACTTATTTGTTTATAGGTCTTCATTTCAACACACTTGATGATTTAATTTAAAATGTATTTTATTTATTGCAAAAAAAAAAAAAAACAGTGCCAAGTACAAGTTAATATGTAAATTGTTGTCAGTGTTTGAAAACACAGGTTTTTTTGGATTAGATTTGTTTTATATGATTTTATTAACCTTCATCTTTTCTCTTTGTAGGTTTGTCTGAAGGGATTGGTGTGTTACCAGATGATCCAATAACACAATGTAAAGATGGAAAGGTGCTGTTCAACACTAATCTGAGTCTAACAGAGACGCCATTTATCTCTGTAGGCTGGAGATACGGTGCTGATAAAAACATAATAACCTCAGGGCTTGAAGTAAACAATACTGCACCAGAGTATGAAGGCAGGATCACACTTTTTAGATTTAATGGATCACTGGAGCTCAGGGATCTGACATTGAATGACAGCGGAGTGTACAGAGTTAACGTTTTTACAGCTGGAGGTTTGCCACAAACAGGGAGCACCAAACTGGACATATATGGTAAGCAGCTGATAATATTTTATGTACATATATTCTAACTGAAAATTATTCAAGTGTTACCCAGCTGTGCATAATACAACCAATGAACCACCCAAACAAACAAAAAACAGTAACGATTTTACATTTAGATCTTTTACCTTTTTTGCATAAATATGAACAATTTTGCACAAACAGTTTGAACTTGGTGTCCTCGTGATAAATCCTCTGCGAATCTTG